ACAATACCCCGACGTGGTAATTGTACATTAAAATGTTGTAAATGCGGTTCAAATGACCTTTATTCTGCGTATTTTTTTCTCGTAATCTAAGTATGATTTTTTCGATCCGAAGAATACGTTAGCCAATGATAGGGCTAGGGCATAATCAAAAACGCTTTGTCGTGCTTAAAAGTTCTGAAAGTCGACTGGACTTATTTACATGTATCAATATTGATATGTGCGTGTGGTAAATCTGAAAATACACATATGTATTCTATAAAATGTGATTGTTAGGGGATCACCCTGGCGAAACGAGCACTGCAGGCATACACCAGAATGCGACCTGCGACACACATATTTTCGTGCTTTAGATATGGCGCAGCATGCATTTTTCATGCCACTCGCTCGAATGCATTTTATCATCTTGGATTCTGTATTGCAGGGCTTTGTATTGATATGTACCTCGGCAAAGTTAAACATTTTCACAGCAATGCACGGATGGTAGCTTTTATGCGATCTTTCCAATTGCCACATGATCTGCGTCTTATTTTTGGTGCAATTTCTGTTATTCGGGTTGCGATATCGAGCGACGAGTTGACTTAGAGGCAATACATATACTAAGTGACATATAAATCCGAACACCCAGTTTAAATGGTTTTATTTTAATAAAATATTGTATAAGTACTTTTTTTTTTTTTTTTTTTTTTTTTTTTTTTTTTTTTTTTTTTTTGGCTTTAGGACTAGGCCATGCAGCCAGAAACTAGGTTGGATATTTTATATATGTCTATAATTATGGACGACAAACACACGACGTCACAACATCCATGGCGAAGGCGAGATTCGAACTCGCGGCCCGGCCGACCGGCTGATCAGTAGCACGACACTCTGACCAACGCGGCCAACCGAGGCCCCGTATAAGTACTTAATGAAGCATAATAAGTAAATGATAAAAATTTCAAAATGATTGCACTGCTTTAAAGCCCTTTGACCTTTAATAATGTGTAGATGCACCCTGATGTGCTACTCATTCTCCAACGCGCCTAGGCATGCTTCTGATCAGGTGGTCAATGTCCTCCTGTGGTATCTCATTCCAGGCAACCACCAACTCCTCTCGAAGTGCTTCTAGAGTCTGAGGAGGATGTTGCAAATTGAGCAATCTCCTACCCATCATATCCCACACGTGCTCAATTGGGGATAAGTCGGGAGATCTTGGTGGCCATGGTAACAATGTGACATCATTATGTTGAAAAAAGTCTATTGTGACTCTTGCAACATGTGGTCGGGCATTATCTTGTTGGAAAGTTGGATCTGCCAGGATGTCAAGATAGGGTAAAAAGATGGGGTCCTAGAACTTCGTGGATATAACGCTGCGCGTTCATGTTACCTCTGATGAAGATTAAAGGTGACCTGGAACCATAAGCTATAGCACCCCAAACCATAACTCCAACTGTGTGAAGAACATGTCTTTCAACAAAGAACTGTGGATTCCTCCTTTCACCACATCGCCTTCTAACCCTGGCACGACCATCGTGCATGCCTAAACAAAATCGAGACTCGTCACTAAAGACAATACTGCTCCATTCCTGATCCCAGAGTGACTGTTGTCTGCACCACTCAAGGCGATTACGTCGGTGTTCTCGAGTTAAAGGGAGGACCCAGTGTGGCCGGTATGAAAACAAGCCAAAACTTCTCATTCGTCGGTAAACACTTCGCATGCCAGTAGGTCTTCCGTGTTCTGCAAACCATTCATTTGCAATGGACCTAGTAGTGGAGAAACGGTCCCTTAGGAGTGACGCTACTCTTCTATAGTCTATATCATTTCGCCACTACTTGCTCAACCACCTTAGGCACTAATGCGACGTTGCAGTTCAGTATTTTGGGAGGCCAGAAGATGAAAGAGGTATGTGCAACTTCGATTGCAGATTTTTGTACATTGGGAAACACTTTCAAAAAATGGTGAATGCGCTTGGATTGAACAGCCTAGCCCAATATCGTATTTTTTAAATTACCTCTGTTTGGCAATGCCGAGATAAGCAAGGAAATCCCGTCGATTGTTAGCTAGATTGTTGTCGATTCGTTTGCCATGCCAACACCGCTCGTTTGTGTCCTAGCATTTTATGAGCTGTCATAACTGTGCGGTTTGTTGTGTCTGGGTTCTGAAAAATATGTCTGTTTTAAACAGCAATAGGCAGCGTTTCAATATTAATTTGGTTTAGATATCGATAAAGTGGTTTAAAAACTTTTGCCAGCCTTAAGCCATTTGGATTATTACTTCCCACGCCACTGGCGAGGAAGTATTGTAATCACGAAAAATTTCGAAAATGAGATGTTATATTTTTGGACGTTATATCACGAAAAACTGAAAATTTTTTCACTTGTTATTTACAGTAAGATAAATACATTCACCAACTTTTATTAAAATAAAACCATTTAAACTGGGTGTTCGGATTTATATGTCACTTAGTATACAATACTGTGGAAAATAAACTCCCCGTTTAAAGTCGCTTAGAGATAAGTTGGTACTATG